AAAAACAAAAATATAAAATATCGCATTGTTGGAATTCATGCTGTTTCCTTGCACCCTTCATTTGCATGTGCAACTTTTATTTGCCATTGCTTTTAGTCTAGTAGTGGTGCCACAATTGTTTGATTTTCTTTTTCTTCGACGAGGATACTCGTGTTTCAATCGTTTCTTCATCACAGAAATCTTTATTAGCGCACATAACGACCAGTTATCTCCCTTGATTAATAGAGTGATTAAGTATTAATTTAAAACTAATAGATAAGGCAATGAAAGAAAACGAAAAGAAAATTTAACTATCTACTGTATAGTCATGCATAGTTATTAGCAAAAGAAATAAATCAAGATTGAACAAACGTACTGGTAATGTTAAAATCAAGCAGTTAAAGAATCTCAACTATCTAGGTAGTGTGATGACAGATCACAGAAAATATAACACAGAAATCTAAAGACTCATATTAATAGCGAAATATGCTTTTCAGAAAATTAGTAAAGTATTAAGATATCGGTAAATTTCGTTATGCTATATTCGCAAGGAGTAATGGATAACGGCTTGGCTTGAGGAATCGGAAAGCCGAGTTCGTATTCCAGTCGAATCCATTACATTAACTTACGTGCTAATACCCTTTGGGAAAGGTATGAATCATCTTCTTCTCCCGCCAGCTATGGGGTTATATAACCATGGATGGCAACTGGTTTACCGCAGAAAGAAATGGCAACCTACTGCGGGAAAAAAATTTCCTCATCAGTCATGTATCGAAAGATACATGATCGCTTAAGCGTGTATCACACATAGCACCTAACTGACTGAGATTCGCGCATATAGCAGCACGGGAGAACAAACGAAGCAATAAGCATCGCCAGTGAGTCGAAAAGAAAAGAGAAGAACTATTAAGATAAAATTCTTTCTATTGTCGATATACAGGATCAGGGCGGAATGTCTCTTTGTGGGCAATAGAAATTGAAATTGATGTATGTGGCGCTCGGTTGACCGAGTTCACTGGTGGTGGCGTTAATATCTTGACCGCTCGTCTGCTAATCTTTCAGTGTCGTGAGGGCCGTCCTTAAAAGCAGACGAAAAGTTTGTGCTTGTGCATGAGGAACAGCTGCCCGAGTGGGGGGGCGTCCTCTCATTGCACCAGAGAGAGGGATCGGGGCTCGCACTGAAGCCAGCGCAACTGACGGTTGCGGGGGGCTCGGGGAATTTTTGTTCCGCGTTCGGGTCTCCACCTTAAAAACTGACTTTGTGTCGCATCTCGTCTTTGTGGGAAGACAGAGTAAATACCGTGTGTTTGTGCGTGTGTGTATGTCTGAAAGCTCATTCTCCTCGGGGAAAGAAGTCTTCCCCAGTGAGGACGAACGTTCATGTTTCAAGACTACTGTATCTTGGAGCAAAGAAGGAAAGGGGAAGTTTATGTCCCTTCTTTTATAGTCCTTAAACAGCACCATCTAATCGGCGTCTTGGCAGACCATGTGGGGAGGGGGCAATCCGTACACAAAAGAAAGCATAGTTATTAGCAAAAGAAATAAGAATTGAACAAACGTACTGGGAATGTTAAAATCAAACAGGTACAGAATTTCAACTATCTAGCTAGTGTGATAACAGATCACAGAGAATATAACACAGAAATCTAAAGGGGACAATCCGCACACTTTCATTTTCTAATCATCGAATCATTTGTCTCAGCACCGTATGTCCATTCCGTAGACATTATTTCACGTTCCGATTTTTTAGTGTTCACTGAAGTACGACACGTATCATTTTGTGATGTGGTTACTTAAAAAGTGTATTTAATTCTTTCCACCTATTGATAAAATGGTGAAACATCGACTTAAGAAGACAATTCAGAGCGATGATTAATTTAAGGAAGCGAATTTATCTTTATGCTTTAACCACTAGCGAAATACTTTCATATCTATTTAAAACCAACGCATTTTCAGTAACGTAATTGATTAATAGTTAATTATTACAAGCAGCAGGTCGGTTAGGTATTAATCGTTAGAACTAAGACAGGTGTTGGGTAATTGGAAATGTCAAATGTTTATTCAGAATGTCATCAATTCTTGAACGACGGAAGGAACAATTCTTAAAACCGTTTACTTACAAGTATTAATCATTTTCATCTTTGGGAAGTTAACATCTAGTCACCTCTTTCAGAATTAGAAAAACTTCTTAATGTGCAAGAAGAATTGTATATCTCATTAATCCCGAAAAGGAAGTTAGGATAATTGCGTATTTTTCACAGAGGCCAGTGGCCGGTGTTTGAGCCCCAGCGTAATGAAGTAGGTGTGCTGACAAGAGGACTAATGAATAACATGTGATTTGAACTTTCTCATATTTGACATTACATTTTATTTAACTCCTTTACTTTATATTTAGTCACCCCTTCCCACGAGGTCAGGTTGTGACACAAGGTCAGTTTAATGTGGGCAGCCCGAGTGCGTACAACCAGGCAAGGAACAAAAATTTCCCGAGCACCGATCCCTCTCTCTCTGGTGCAATGAGAGGGCGCGACCTCGGACAGCTGTTCCCTAGGGCCCGGTACCTCTCAGTATAATTTTCCTCAGTTGCGACTCTGTCCTTCGACGTAGCCGCCCCTGAGCGCAATCTTCCCAAAGGCTGAGACGCAACTGAGAGATGATAAATAGAGCGTTACAAACTACTCGAGTGAGTAATTTACACACTAAATGATTTTCTAAGCGTGGCTTAGATTTGGCACAAGGCCGAAAATATGGGGCACCCAGTGAGGATCAAACTCACTATTCAATCGTATCTGATCTAGTAAGACAGGATTTCTAACCATTACACCACTTCAAGGTGTCCTGCATTTAATGTCGTTTTGAGTCAACTAGTGGGTTCCCGGGGATCACTCACCCAAACGTAGACCTTACATTCTTGTCGGTTTTGTTTATTTGTTTAGCGACATTGTGGGTCATTTAAGGCCGAAATTTAATTTTCTTGTGAGAAAGAAGGAAGCGTTGTGAAAGCAATTAATGGTTGAGGAGGAAGAAGGCATTAGCGCCCACGCTTCAAGAGGACTGGTCCAGCTGAAGAAGATCATAGATCAACACGGGCAAGAAAGTGCCAACATATTCAAGGCATATTCAAATTCAGGGCTGAACATTCCTTGCTGAGCCTTCCTGGGAAGAATTTAAACCGAAAGAACTTTCAAGTTAACTTTCCAGCAAAATACTTCAAAAGTCCCTCGAGATAACAACTTGTGAAAACACAAAAACCCCTTCGTCTTGAGACGTCCTATTATTGAGTATTCTGTTAAGAACGGAATTGGGTGCGTTTTCTATTTTCTGCCTTGTGCGATTCTTTGCTTACTCTAAATTTTTCCCTTTTTTCTGTTTTTAAAGGGTGTAATATTTTTTGTCTTTGGATCCGAGTCTTTTTCTAAAAAAATTATAGCACTTTTTCCTTATATCTGATGGTTGTCTCCTTTTTGTAACCCCAGAAAATCGTTATCCTGCTATAATAGGCACACAAAAGGAAATTTTTGTGCAACCTTTGTATTTGTCCCCCTTTTTGTAACATTGTAAAATAAATGTTTTTCCTTTTTAAAATTTTACACAGTGGTCGTCTTGTTTTGTAATTTCGCGCCTATTATCGTGACTTGCTGTTTCTACAAACTAAATTTTGTGTCTGGCAAAAAAACTTGGATTTGGTAGTGTTATGGTCCGGTTCCTTGTACTACGGTGATAGTCCAAGGTAGAACCAATAAAGAAGAACTCGAATACGGATATGGAATAACACAGATATATTACAAACAGGAATATATACAGAGAGAAAGTGTTAGTACGAACAATCAGGTTTAGTAGTAATTGTCTGAACGCGACTCTTTTTCGGACTGCCTCTGACTCGACTGACTGACTCGCTCTGACTGACTTCACTCCAGACTTCAGACGGAACTCTAGACTTCAGACGGAACGGTATTTAGTCACCCCCCCACGAGGGTATCATGTGGCACAAGGCCGGTTTAACGTGGGATCTCCGAGCCCGTGGGCTCGGCCAAAAGTATGCCCTTTGAACCCGTATAAACGGGTTCAGGGTCAATTACCTCCCCGAAAGAGACTCCGCCCTTCGGTGTAGCCTCGTTCGGGTTCCTCCCCGCCCGAAGGCAGAGAGTTCAACCGATCAGCCGGTCAGCCGGTCGTCCGACTTCGGACTGGACTCCCTGCTTCCTTTTGAGGCGCAGTATTTATTACGTATGGAATAGTCCATTATGTTATTATGGGTAAGGTCCCATAACAAGTAGGAAATAAATTATTCATAATACTGCATATGATCCATTATTATACATTATTGGTTAAAATAAAGTTTGTATTTTATATGAATACTACCTTATGAAAATTGAGATAGAGTTGGAGATGTATCTGCTGTGGATTCTGGGATAAAATCCGGTACCAATAAATAATAAACGCCAAGAATGAATCTAGGAAAATAATGTATTAACGTAATAATACAAACTGGTAAAGCAGGTTAGTAGTTCCAGGAATACGTGTTAGTAGCAAAATATATACAGTGTAACCCGGATATAAGAGACCCGGATATAAGAGAAACCCGGATATAAGAGAGATTTTCTCTGGTCCCAAATTAGAGCCTGTGTCAATGTATATATAGACCCGGATATAAGAAAAACCTGGATATAAGAGAGATTTTCTCTGGTCCCGTCCTCCCCGATATAAGAGAGTTCGTTTTGAGTGACAGTGTGATGTCGTAAATCGGTCAAACAGAGAGAGAGAGTGAAGTTCAATGACTTAATCTTGACTAGTCTAGAGACACGGTGTGTCCAATCTGTGTCTGTAGGAGACACCCTCTACCTTATGATTTTGCTTTGTGTGTCTAAGGGTAGCTCCGCCCGCTTTTTTGCTGAATTTTCTTGTCGTTGCATTTACTGGACAGCCCTTTCACTTTACCCACTGTTCTGTTGAGTCAGAAGTTTGTCTGTTTGTTAATTTTGCCACTGAAAACCGTTTGCTTGCGATCATTGCGATTAGTGATGTCGGCGTCGGCGTCTCAACGAAAAACTCTGAGCATTTCTGAACAGTTGGAGCTCATCGACGATGTCAAAGTGAAGAAACTCAAACTGGCCGCTGCAGCCAAAAAGTACGGAATCGGTTATTCAACAGCAGAAGACGATCTCAGATCTTGCATGCAAATGAACGGAAACACTAATCGCAAACGAAAACGCCAATCCGTGCACAAGGACGTTAACGAAGCGCTTACACAATGGTTTACGCAAGCATGTGCTCATGGAGCTACCGTTACCGATCACGTCATCAGGCAGAAAGCATCACAACTGGCCGTAAATCTTGAAGTTGATTTTGAACCAAGCAATGGCTGGCTCATGCGCTGGAAGCAGGCCAATAACGTTTCGTTCAAAAAATTTCACGGCGAATCAACGTCAGCAGATCACGGTTCTGCCAACGAATGGGTGACAAACGTTTTGCCGCAACTTTTTCGTGGATATGATCCAAAAGATGTTTGGAACTGTGATGAAACGGGAATTTTCTACAAAGCCATGCCGTCTGGATTTTTGCGATTTGCCGGCGACGAACAGTCAAATGGGACAAAAGTTCCCAAAGACAGACTCACGATGTTTCAGTTCACAAACATAGACGGCAGTGAAAAGCAAGCTGTAGTTGTTGGTAAGTCGGCAAAACCACGGCAAACAGATTTTGACGAATTTATCAGCTTCGACGACCGTACACAATGTTATGGAGAACTGACTGACACGGACATCACACGTGGTATAAAATCGGATGATCAAGATTTTGACGAAGATGATAATGCTGAAAGCGTAAGTTCTGAAGTTTCTGAAAGTGACAAACCAGTGCCAAATTCTCTGGCTGCATTGAATGCGCTTGAAACTCTGACAGCCTACTTAGAAGCAAAAAGCAGTAATCCTGATGGCGCATTGAAAATGATTTACGGACTGTATGAAAGTGTTCATGATGTTAACAAAGATTTCTGTACAATAAAAAATGACTGACTTTTTTAAGAAAAAGTAATTTTTGATTGAATTATTTTGAAAACTGATTGAAAATGTATTTTTGTCTGTGTTTTTATGTCTATAACTGTTAAATAAACTAGTGTTCTGTACGTAAAAAGCGTTATATGAAGTGTTCCCATACTTACCTAAACAAAATAGACCAAACCCGGATATAAGAGAAACCCGGATATAAGAGCCTTCTTCTCCGGTCCCGACAACTCTCTTATATCCGGGTTACACTGTATACAGTCTTTGGTATTGAAGTATCGCTGTATGACTTCTTACTGAGTCTACGTGCTCGCTCACTGTGACTCCTACAACGCTGTTACCTCACTGATGTGGACCCAAAGTTGGGACCACGGAAGGAAAACACGGAACACGGTTTAGAGGTAAGAAAGATATATTAAACAAAAAGGTTACAAAGATAGTGTAAGTGTAAGCGGAGCTTACTATGTGCTAGTGTCCAATATTGGTAGTCGTACGCGGCTGATACTACGGTATTAGAATACTCTCTCTCTCTCTCTCTCTCTCTCTCTCTCTCTCTCTCTCTCTCTCCTCTTTCCTCCTCTTCTCCTAGAGTGTTATATCGCATACTTTATATAGTCCTGGAAGAGTCCATGTTGTAGGTATGTTACGGTCTCACAACACTCACCCTCACTCTTCCGGTTACCTACAACCTTTTACTCTGTTACTCTGGACTCGACTCGAGTCCTCGGTCTTACTCTCTCGGGTCTTCACGTAGCCGTAGTATATGTATATACTGGGTGGGTCCATTTGTGTAAAAAGGGGAGAACCCCTCAACAGTATCATAGGTTCGGGGTGGGGGTGAGGCACGAAACTCTTGCACCTGTCTTGGTTCTGAGTTTCCAACATAGGAAACAAGTCGCTAACTTTCCTTATCTTTTAAACTGCCGGTATATGCTAGAATATACTCAGATCATTTGTAAACATCTATGCCGATGATATGACGATATACGGGTTCGCCTCTAAAACTCTCGACCGTCAGAGATTGGCGACTGATCTCTCTTCCGATCTTGCACAAACTACCCAATGGGGTAAAAACTGACTGGTTACATTTCGATATTACTCCACCTCTCCACTTCTGTCTTCTAAATTGTGTTAACTTTTTCCATGAAGGCCCATACCTTTAAAGAGTCTTCCCGAACATAAAATCCTTCCTATTTTCCACCTGAAAGTAGTTATTAATGGCTAATCCTCCATAGCCCTAGCGGTCAAAGCAAGTGTACCCCAGGAGTCACTCCACGGAACAACCCGCTTTTTGATTTACATAAATGATCTGCCTAAGAATATACTCAGATCATTTGTAAACATCTATGCCGATGATACGACGATATAAGGGTTCACTTCTAAAACTCTTGACGGTCAGAGATTAGCAGCTGGCCTTTCTTTCGATCTAGCACTAACTTCCCAGTGCGTGTGTGTGTGGGGGGGGAAACTGGTTAGTTACATTCAATGCCTCGAAAACCAAACGAGCTACATTCTATCATTGCCGATCGGAAGCTGAACTAGCGACAGTCTCGATGAACGGATGTTCCCTCGAGAAGGCACTGTATCCTGAGAGAGTATTGGACCTCAAACTCACACTCGACCTCAAGTGGAACTCTTACAAACGATCCGTCGGTAAAGATGCAGGTAAAATGATCAGTTCCCTGCTTTGCTCCAGTACGTACCTGTCTCCTCAAACGTTTTCATCCCCAAAATATGCCTGAAATCAATATACCTAGCCATTTGTTGTTGTCCGCGTTACTTGTGATATAAAATTGATTTTGGTCGGAAAGGTTTTGTTGTTTATCATGCAGCTTTGCAATAAGTTCCAAATAGACAAATTATATTATTGTTTTAATGAAAAATGTTGTCTGAAAAAATTTTTTCAAATTTAATATGTGCTCAACGCATGAACTACGATTGTTGTACTAAAGGCCCAATCAATAGCCCTCCGAAGGAGTTAACTTAAATGCCGCCCGATAGGACGGCTTTTAAGCTAGTTACATATATTTCTAGATGTCTCTATAATGTCATTGCTTCCTTTAAACTCCCATAACGTTATGCGACATAAATGACGTTTCAGTACCACAGTTAATGTTGTTAAGAAATTTATTTTTTAATCAACAGTGTACGCTGCCACTGCTGCGCCAAAAACTAAGTCTGGTTTTACTTAGAGAAAGTTTTCCCCAGCAAAGTGATATAAAAAGGTAATAATTGGTTGTTGAATATGGCGGGGCGGAGTAGAACAGGCGATCAGAGTTTCAAAATATTTTCCTATGTTATTCCTGATATATGAAAAGATCAACAAAGAAAATAATCGGTTGGCAAATATGGCAGATGTAGTAAAACAGCTGAACCGAGATTCAATATATTTTCCTGTGTTATTCCTGTTATAATAAAAGATAAAAAGGGCAATAATTGGTTGGTGAAGATGACGAGTAAAAGAGAATATACCAACCAAGTTCCAAGATGATTGCTTGTGTTATTCCTGCTATAAGAAAAATCAAAAAAGAAAATAATTATTTGGTGAATATGGTGGCTGGAGAAGAAACCAACGAAATTCCAAAATGATTCTCGTGTTATTCCTGTTATTAGAAAGAAAAAAAAAAGAAGGTAATAATTACTTGGGGAATATGAAGACTACAGTGGAATATGCCAACCGAATTCCAAAATGATTTCCTTATTATTCCTGTTATAAGAAAAGAGATGGTTATATTTGGTTGGTGATTATGGCGGCTGGAGTAGAATAAACCAACCGAAATCCGAAATGATTTCCGTGTTATTCCTGGTATAAGTCAAGATAAAAAAGAAGGTGATATTTTGTTGTTGAATATGGCGGCCGGAGTAGAATAAACCAACCGAATTCAAAAACGATTTCCGTGTTATTCCTGGTATGAGAAAAGATAAAAAAGTAGGTGATATTTTGTTAATGAATATGACGGCCGGAGTAGAATAAAACAACCGAATTCCAAAATGATTTCCGTGTTATTCCTGGTATAAGAAAAGAAAAGAGAAAAAAGTAGGTGAATATTTTGTTAATGAATATGACGGCTATTCCTGGATGAGAAAAGAATAAAACAATGGCCTGAATAGAATAAAAATGATTTCCGTGTTATTCCTGGTATAAGAAAAGAGAAAAGAGACGGTGATATTCGGTTGGTGAATATGGCGCCTTGAGTAGAATAAACCACCCGAATACCAAAATGATTTCCGTGTTATTCCTGGTATAAGAAAAGATAAAAAAGAAGGTGATATTTTGTTGGTGAATATGGCGGCTAGAGTAGAATAAACCAACCGAATTCCAAAATGATTTCCGTATTATTCCTGTTATAAGAAAAGATAAAAAAGAAGGTAATAATTAGTTGGTGAATATGGCGGCTGGAATAGAATAAACCAACCGAATTCCAAAATGATTTCCTTTTTATTCCTGTTATAAGAAAAGATAAAAAAGAAGGTGATATTTTGTTGGTGAATATGGCGGCTGGAGTAGAATAAACCAACCGAATTCCAAAATGATTTCCGTGTTATTCCTGGTAAAAGAAAAGATAAAATAGAAGGTGATATTTTGTTGGTGAATATGGCGGCTGGAGTAGAATAAACCAACCGAAATCTAAAATGATTACCGTGTTATTCCTGTTATGAGAAAAGATAAAAAAGAAGGTGATATTTTATTGGTGAATATGGCGACTGGAGTAGAATAAACCAACCGAATTCCAAAATGATTTCCTTTTTATTCTTGTTATGATAAAATATAAAAAAGAAATTGACATTTTGTTGTTGAATATGGCGGCTGGAGAAGAATAAACCAACCGAATTCCAAAATGATTTCCTTTTTATTCCTGGTATAAGATAAGATAAAAAAGAAGGTGATATTTTGTTGGTGAATATGGCGGCTAGAGTAGAATATACCAACCGAATTCCAAAATGATTTCCGTGTTATTCCTGGTATAAGAAATGATAAAAAAAAGGTAATAATTAGTTGGTGAATATGGCGGATGGAGTAGAATAAATCAACCGAATTTCAAAAAAGGTTTCCGTGTTATTCCTGGTATAAGACAAGATAAAAAAGAAGGTGATATTTTGTTGGTGAATATGGCGGCTGGAGTAGAATAAACCAACCGAATTCCAAGATGACTTCATTTTATTCCTGTTATAAGAAAAGATAAAAAAAGAAGGTGATAATTTGTTGTGGAATATGGCGGCTGAAGTAGAATAAACCAACCGAATTCCAAGATGACTTCATTTTATTCCTGGTATAAGAAAAGATAAAAAAGAAGGTGATATTTTGTTGTGGAATATGGCGGACGGAGTAGAATAAACCAACAAGATGAATTTTCCTGGTATAAGAAAAGATGAGGTTTGTTTTTATTCCTGGTATAAGAAAAGATAAAAAAGAAGGTGATATTTTGTTGTGAATATGGCGGCTAGAGTAGAATAAACAAATGAACCCGAATTCTGGTATAAGAAAAAATGATCTTTGTTGTGGAATATCGGGTAGAATAAACCAACTGAATTCCTGGTATAAGAAAAGATAAAAAAAAGGTGATACTTTGTTGGTGAATATGGCGGCCGGAGTAGAATAAACCAACCGAATTTCCAAGAAGGTTTCATTTTATTCCTGGTATAAGAAAAGATAAAAAAGAAGGTGATATTTTGTTGTGAATATGGCGGCCGGAGTAGAATAAAACCGAACCAAGATTTTATTCCTGGTATAAGAAAAGATAAAAAAGAAGGTGATACTTTGTTGTGGAATATGGCGGCCGGAGTAGAATAAACCAACCGAATTACAAGATGACTTCATTTTATTCCTGGTATAAGAAAAGATAAAAAAGAAGGTGATATTTTGTTGTGGAATATGGCGGCCGGAGTAGAATAAACCAACCGAATTCCAAAATGATTTCTGTTTTATTCCTGGTATGAGAAAATGATAAAAAAAAGGTAAAAAGAATAATTTGTTGTGGAATATGGCGGCCGGAGTAGAATAAACCAACCGAATTTCAAGATGGTTTCATTTTATTCCTGGTATAAGAAAAGATAAAAAGAAGGTGATACTTTGTTGTGGAATATGGCGGCTAGAGTAGAATAAACCAACCGAATTCCAAGATGATTTCATTTTATTCCTGGTATAAGAAAAGATAAAAAAGAAGGTGATAATTTGTTGTGGAATATGGTGGATGGAGTAGAATAAACCAACCGAATTCCAAGATGATTTCATTTTATTCCTGTTATAAGAAAAGATAAAAAAGAAGGTGATATTTTGTTGTGGAATATGGCGGCCGGAATAGAATAAACCAACCGAATTTCAAGATGACTTCTTTTTATTCCTGTTATAAAAAAAGATAAAAAAGAAGGTGATATTTTGTTGTGGAATATGGCGGCCGGAGTAGAATAAACCAACAGAATTCCAAGATGATTTCATTTTATTCCTGTTATAAGAAAAGATAAAAAAAGAAGGTGATAATTTGTTGTGGAATATGGCGGCCGGAGTAGAATAAACCAACCGAATTCCAAGATGATTTCGTTTTATTCCTGTTATAAGAAAAGATAAAAAAGAAGGTGATACTTTGTTGT